ATAACAGACTGCGAGGGGTTGGGGGCAGGGGGAGAAGAAGGAACAGAGGACAAAGGAGTTATGGACAAAAAGCCCTGGACAAGGCATAAAACCAGAGGTGTGGGATGGCCAGGAAAGGGACAGCTCTCTGGCAGTGGGGAGGAAAAGCTTGCCCTGGTAGGTGGTTAGGGAGAGCCATGTGAGGAGTGAACATCTGGTTGGAGCTGAGGCCTCAAGACTGGTCTTCCTGGGTGATGGTGACAGGGAAAGCCCAGATCTGAAAAGGTAGGCACACCCTGAGGAGTCATGGAAACCCCTGACCAGTGTCTACAGTGTGGGCTCAAGATTTAATGAGACCTGTCCCCAGGGCTCTTCCACCTTCTTCCCTGAAACTGAATAGAATGCCACCACCAGGACTCAGGTGCACCCCGTTTTCCCCACACTACACAAAACCTCTCACCACCACGAGAGGCCTCCGAGGCCTTCCCACCACAAATAAGTACTAAGGCCAGGCCTTGTGCCTGGACTTCCCAGTGAGACTTGGTTTTCCACTTTTCTCTGGAGGTGGGACATGGTCATTGATATTACTCCTCTGCTCAGAGAGACACCAGTGAGGCACAGACAGAACAGATTCATTCTCCAGAGCCAAAACAGGCTTCTGCATGGAGCTTCCTCGTTCCAGACACCTCTTCAGGACTGCGTCTGCTCCTGATCAGCTGTGTGGGCACCTCATCATCCTTGAAGAGGTCCAGAAACTGAGACTGAGACCAACAACCTGTCCCATCTGAAGAAGACTTCCAGTGGACTAAAATCTCCCACCTAGAGGAACCCTGGCAGGCTCAGGGACACGGGGTCCCCCTAAACTCCACAAAGCACTTGGTCTACTCCTGTAGTTTCAGGACTGGACACACTCATTTACTTCCCACACAAACTGGTTGGGTAAGATATTATTATAATCTTCCTTTTGTAGATGATAAAAACAAGACAGATAAGTCCAATACCTTCCTCAGCAGATGCAGAGAGAGTAAAGGCAGGAATCGAATCCAGGAACCCAGCTCCTGGGACTGTCCACTTAAAGACTGCTATTCTGCTTCTCAGAAGGATTTATAACAGGATTTTTTTTTTTAAGCAAAAAATGTGTGAAAGAGACAATAATCAAAAATGTGGGAATGGCTGAATAAATTACAGTACATCCCATGGAATACCGTGCAGCCACTGGAAAGATATACTGCAGAGAGAAAAAAACATGTACATGCATGTATGATATGATCAGATTTTTATAAAACGAGAGTCTCATAGAAGTATATGATTATAATAATATGTGTGCTTGTGAGTGAGGGAGCATGTGTGTGTGTGTGTGTGATGTGCTGGCAAACATCTGTAAAGAGCCAGATTGTAAATATTTCCAGCTTGGGGGCTATATGATCTCTGCCACAACTATTCAGTATGCTGATGGAGTGTGAAAGCAGGTCTCAGACAATACATACACAAATGAACACGGCTGTGTCCCAATAAAACTTTACATACATTAAAAGAAAACACCTGGTACATCATATGTGGCCAATGGCCACAGTTTGCTGATTAGGAGCCTGTATGTATATGATTAGGAGCCAGTACGACAATATAAACAAGTCTAGACTAAATGGTCGGCACTGAGTATCTACAGAGAGGCTTGCCATAGATGGTAAATGTGGAAAGGAAAGGGAGGGTAGAGCTAAGCTAATCATATCAGAAAAACTACAATATGAAAACCAGAATACATTACAAAATCTTATGCATTTAGCAAAATATCTACTTTCATGTGTCTATATAATAACGAAATTAATAACTTGATGGTGCAACTTCAGCATATAAATATTCTATAGGGAATGAATTTGATAAACCCAATTACATTAGATTCTTTAATAACTATAATCTATCTATACCTCCTGTTATATAGTGAATTCTGCAGCAAACCCTAGTGAACTAAGGGCATATATATACATACACATACACATATATACATACATATCTGTATGCTGACCAGACCATATACATATACACAAATAAGAATGGTATTAATTATATTTTTCCATGAACTTTTTGAAGTACTCTCATATATACATACCTATGTACACACACACACACACACACACACACATTCATATATAGTACTGTACTATCATTCACTTTGCTGGCACTTTAGAAATACTGAAATCCCACAAAAAACAGGGTTATCAATGATATAACTCACCACTATCTTTCCCATAAATAATCTGGTAATAATGCCTTGTACCATTTTCTGTAGAAAAGCTTTTCTCAATGCATTAGTCAGGGTTTCTTCTCAGGACGAAATTTATTCCTAATGATTCCTAATGAGACTGATAGAAATATGGACATTTCTGTCTAAAGTTCTTTATGAGTAACTTCCCACATGTAAAACAGTGTGATGTTCTGATGTGTTTACACGTGCAATGCATTCCTAAAGTTTTTTTGAAGCATGAATTCTATGACGTACAATTAGATGACTCTTATGAGAAGATTTTCTCTTCTTTAAGAAACTCAGGGAGTCTATTTCATTTATGAATATGTTGCTGCACTAG